CGTTTTGGACATGCCATATCCACATCACGTGCACATTTGCTATGATTTCTTCCATTTTGGCCTTTTGTACTCTCTTGCGTTGCCTTTCGTGCGTCTCCTCTTCTCCCCTCATCCGTAATTACAGATGTTTTGATGCCACGATGTTGGGGGTTGGAGAGATCGTTTAGCACCTCATTATCAACTGCCAATAAAGCCAATTATTTCTCTTATCGTTTCATCGCTTTTGATGTGGTTTGAAGGGTAAAAATGTAATAGTTTGAGGAGAAGTGCCTTGAGGTGCGATGTCCCAACAAAATCCCCCCTATTGAATCCTGCCAACATGACATGACCAGGGATCCCTGACTTGTGACGTAGTGCAAAATGAAGAAAATTAGGACAACATGAGAGGAACTTGGCTTGAGTTGTCATCGTTACGTCTGTAACCCAATGCTTCGCCATGGTTAACGGCAGGTTTCGGTGGTGATCTCGAGTAGAGTGGTGATGGCAAAAGCACGGATGAGGTTGCAAAACACGACTAGCGATTAGATTGTCGAGTCACGCTTAATGTGACTTGGTTTAGCTTTCTGCCGTGAAGCAATGTTGAAGAGGGTGTGTTCTCGATTGAGTAGAATGGTGAGTAGCGGAAGCAGTTGATGGAGTCAGGCAGGTGATGTCAAACCGTGGACATCTCCCTAGGACCCCTCTATATCACGTGTGTCGTTTTGAGGATTGCATCGAAAATGCGACTGGACGAGTACAGCGTGTTACGCCAAGTACGCCACCTCTGTGTGACCGTACCCACAATCACGCATTGCTGGCTATGCTATTCGCACCTCGGTATTACAACGGGAATCAACGATCATTGGCGTTTGCGTCACTTCGAGAGCTGGGTCATGGTGCAAGAATGCTCGAAACAGAGTGCCACCATTTAGTCGGTGTGTCGTATGCTTCGCATGAGTCAGTGTCTTGGATTGTCTTACACTTCCCAAAACAAGCATTCTGGTCACGCATTCATGGTGGGAATGAAATGCCGCTTTGAGTTAGCGGTCTCTCCGTAGAAACGCGTGATCCAAAGTCGATTTACGCAGTTGCTTTGAGTTCGTGCAGATACTAGTTGATGCAATCTTGCCGGGTAACGGCGTTCACTCTAGTTAGTCACCATTGACCACCAAGTCCGCAGTGGTGGTGGTGGTGGTTGTGGTACTCTAGCAGCAGTACTGTGCACCAGGTGACCCGCAACCGCCTTGCGAATTTTACTGCCAATATTGCCGAGGTTCCCGCCTATTCTCCGTCTTCCCGGCATATTGTGAAAGTGCTAACTGGCAAACACAGTTTCACACGACAGAGGGCTTTGTTCGGTCAAGTTTGGATACTACCACTCACCTCAACCGATAGGCTTGGTGTTGTTACCCACCCAACTAACTACTTCCACTTACTGCTGATAATATCGATAAAATCAGCCTGCAACCAGCTTCATTTTGACGGCTTCATGATAAAGCATTTTGGTTATCACTTAAGTCGCCTGCGCTGCTCCCGTGACGATTAATGAAATCGATTTATTTTCGTAGTGAGTGAACTGCTCTTCAGTGCGATTATTTGATTCGCATTCACTGAATTTCGTTTAATTCACTGTCATGTGCGCTCTGTATTTGCGTATATAGCGACACTCAGACATTCTAGATACTTTCAGGTCGTTTTGCTCAACGCCTGACGATTCGCTCATCGGTCCCCAATCTTCTGCTACATCACGCTCCCCTATGGTATTCTTTTATCTTTTTTCTTTTAATATTATAATGCCTTTAGGTACTTAATCTAGGCTATAATTATGTATATGACTACCCAGTGGTATTAGGTCAGGTGTTGGACGGGATCTGGAACGTCTTTAGCGGTGATCCTTCCTCCGAAGCTGCCACGGAAGAACCCCGGGCTGAACTGAGTCGCCACATACTCCAATGCAAGGAACTCCGCCTCAATAACGACGGAGACCTCGTCCATGTAGAACGAACGCCAAGTTTATATGAGGTGCAGCAGGCTCCCCCATTTTGCTTGCATTTGAAAGCTCCTCCTAATCGGTCTACGTGTATCTATACTAGTAGTTAAATGCCTTCTCTGACACAGAATGTTCAGTATAGCAATTTGTGGTTGTGACAAGTCGATTCTGGCTTGTTGTTATTGATACCCTTCTCTTGACACTGGATTTTCTTTATTACTTGGCTTAGTCAAGCGGAATGTTTGTGTCGAGTTTGTGGTGGCATCGTCGAGTCTCCAAGCGCACAGTCGCACGACGAAAGACTGCCACCCACCTGAATTCCGCGGACATTGCTCGTGGGCCAACCTGTCAATCCAGTTTATATAGTTGGAGGAGAGCATTAGGTCAACCGCAGAGCATTTACAAATACACCAACCAGAGAACGGATAGGCGGTCAGCCAAATAAACAGCAGCAGTAATGCTTACTTACGCGTCATGTACCGCTTGTCGAAAGATGTGGACTGTTATTAGTGGTGTTTGGAGCGAGTCTTTCCACTGTGCTCGACTGTGACTGTCGCTTTCTCTTTCTCCTAGATTGGTGTAGTTGTTTGGTACATTGTGATGAGTACGCCCGAGTATCCGGAGGGTCGACCGATTATCCTCATTGCCAACGACGACACTCTCAAAGAAGGTTCCTTTGGACCACGCGAAAGCCTCGTGTTCTGTCGGGCTAGTGAATTAGCTCGTCGTCTGCGTATCCCACGAATCTTTATTTCGTCCACTGCGGGTGCCCTATTTGGATTGGCCGAGGAGGTGAAGAGTGTGTTCAGGGTTGCGTGGGTCGACGAAAATTT